AAAAAAAAAAAAGAAATATGATAGAAATGTATGTTGCTGTGGGGGCAGTTGGAAGAGGTGGATGTAGTCATTTCTACTAGAGGTAGAAGACCCTTCTAGGGAACATAAAAACTTAACAGTAAATTTTACAGTGTGAATATAAGTTGCTTGGTGAGGAGAAAAAGTTATAGGTAGTCCCTAGGTTATGAACAAGATAGGTTCTGTGAGTTTGTTCCTAAGTTGAATTTGTATGTAAGTCGGAACAGGTACATTTACCTATTGACCTCTGTTCCTAAGTATGTTTGCACATAAGCAGATATTTGTAACTTGGGCACGGCCTGTATTTCCCACCAGCAATGATTCTTCATTATGCACATATTAAAGTATAGAAAGTAGGCTTGGCACCAGTAGCTCAGCGGTTAGGGCACTGGCCACATATTCTGGGGCTGGTGAGTTCGAGCCTAGGCCTGCCAGACAACAATGACAACTGCAACAAAAACAACAAAAATTACCGGGTGTTGTGGCGGGTGCCTATAGTCCCAGCTACTTGGGGGGCTGAGGCAAGAGAATCGCTTAAGCCCAAGAGTTTGAGGTTGCTGTGAGCTGTGACCCCATGGCACTCTACCGAAGGCAACATAGTGAGACTCTGTCTCTTAAAAAAAAAAAAGTATGGAAAGTAGCCAGACTCAGTGGTTCAACCCTGTAATCCTAGCACTCTGGGAGACAAATGTGGGAGGATTGCTTGAGCTTAGGAGTTGAAGACAGCCTGAGCAAGAGTGAGCCCCCATCTCGACTAAAAGTAGAAAAATTAGCCAGGCGTTATGGCTTGTGTCTGTAGTCCCAGCTACTAGGGAAGAGTGCTTGAGCCCAGGAGTTTGAGGTTTCTGTGAGCTAGGCTAAAGCCATAGTACTCTAGCCTGGGCAATAGAGTGAAACTGTCTAAAAAAAAGTATGGAAGGTGAAATACCATGCAAATAGTCCAGTAAGACTTTTGGTTATAACAAGGGGGGAGATTTTTTGTTTTTCTGATTGATCTCTTCTTAAAAATGTTTAAGGTTATCAACTGGCAAACATCTCTTCACATTCCACCACAAGCTAAACTGAGTCCTGAAGCTTCTGATCTTATTATCAAACTTTGCCGAGGACCAGAAGATCGCTTAGGCAAGAATGGTGCTGATGAAATAAAAGCTCATCCATTTTTTAAAACAATCGATTTCTCTAGTGACCTGAGACGTCAGTCTGCTTCATACATTCCTAAAATCACACACCCAACAGATACATCTAATTTTGATCCTGTTGATCCTGATAAGTTATGGAGTGATGATAATGAGGAAGAAAATGTAAATGACACTCTCAACGGATGGTATAAAAATGGAAAGCATCCTGAACATGCTTTCTATGAATTTACCTTTCGGAGATTTTTTGATGACAACGGCTACCCATATAATTACCCAAAGCCTATTGAATATGAATACATTAATTCACAAGGCTCCGAGCAACAATCAGATGAAGATGATCAACACCCAGGCTCAGAGATCAAAAATCGAGATCTAGTATATGTGTAACAACACTAGTAAGTAATTGTAAACAGGATTTGCAAAAGGGCCTGAAATGCAAAGTTTTTTGAGATTCTTGACAGGAAAATTATAGAAATGCAACAGAGCTGTGTATCTTAGCTCTGTGTATAATATCTTATTTTCCTAAATTATGGAAAATCTTTTAAAATCTTAATTTATTCCAGTCTTTTAAATCAGTAATTTAGAAAAGAATTGTTATACAGCAAGTAAATTATGAACTGAATATTTTAGTCAGTTCTTAGTACTTAAAGTACTTAAAAAATAGTGCTTTGTTTAATAAAAGGGGAAGCTTAGTATCTATTTGTATATATGCTAAATAATTTTAAAAGACAAGAGTTTTTGAAATTTTTTGAAAGACAGTTTAGTTTTATCTTGCTTTAACCAAATATGAAACATACTCCATATTTACAGAGCTCTCCCCACCCCCATAACCTTGGTTTTGATACAAAATAAGCTAGAGAAATTAAGCCATCATTTTGGTATGTGTTCTTAGGCTAATGATAATCTTTGTAATTCACATCCTGGCACAAAGAAATATAAGGTTGAAACATTGTTAATATGTTTATCAGAGTGAAAAATAATTCAGTTTATTTTTTCCCCTCCCTTGGTGGTATATTTAATCTTCTAGCATTTATTTCTCAAGAATTACTATCTTTAAACAAAGCCAAAGCACAATGAGTTTTCTTTTCATATTGGTATTTTTAATGCTGCTTCCAGTTGTAAAAGGGAACAAAGCTGCCATAAATTAACATTTTCAAATACTAAAAGCTAAAGTCTTTCATATTTTACTTTGAAATGAAAAAAAAAGTTTACCCTCCATCCTAAGCAGAGAAATTATTTTCAGTTTCGTATAAAACTTAGATTAGAAAGTTGGTAGTCATTAGAAAGGAACTTTTCTATTTAGTGACTAGTTTTGATTTTGTTGTCAACGTTATAAGTTTCCTCTTTCAGAACAGTGTTGCATACATAGATTGTTATTGGCAATGGAGAATCTGGCTATTGGCAATATTTTATCTAAGGACAGATTAACTGATGGAAAAATTAACTCTTGAGATGGACACAAGTAATTAGGAAAAGCTATATAGTGGTTTTAGTAGAAAATTCAAGTCCTCTTATTTGAAGTCAAATAATATGTTTTTCAACATATCTATTATATGTAATAATGCTGAAGTTCTAAAGAAGACTAATGGTTTCAAACCAAAATACATGTAGCTTATATTTTTTTTAGCAAGGGGAAAAGGGCTCTATTCTGACCATAGTAAAGTTTGTATTTTATTTTGTTTCCTTTTCTCATGGAATTGATTTATCAAAACCTATTTGTGAAGAAGAGGTGTACTTTGAGTGATTTTCAAACTTTTAACTTTCTTCATATAAAAGCTAATTGGAAACCATATATATAGTAAAATTAAACACAGAGCTGTTCAGCTAAATGGGAGGGGCTAAGAATATTCACTCACATTTCCCACCTTTCTACAGATGGCCCTCTCAGTTCAGCTTCAAAACCACTGCCGCGTTTTCATAGAATTTTGGGAGTCACTGGTTCTTTTCAGAGTCTGATGAAAGCTAGGAACTCTCTTTTCCCAGGGAAAAGAAAATGCACACCAACACACAGACATAGTGTTGCATGCTATTTCAGGGGATTCTGGATATGTTGAGACCTACCACAGGCTCTCGGTTAAGGACCTGTGTCCTATAAGAAAATCGTTTTATTAACCTAAGAACTTTTGCTTTTAATTTACTGATTAGTACAAAGAATAGCATATTTTATATAAACACTGATAAGTTTGTGATGAAAAAGGTGTATAGCATGTGATAAAATGTCCTTACAAATGCCTCTCTCTTGCTGGGACAACACTAAGGTGTTTTAAATACACCAACACCATTTTGAGGGCACTGAGATGTTTGGCTCATTACAGCCTTAATACAGAAAAGTTTCTGAAGGATTTCTAAGAGAATTGTAAAAAGTGCATTGTTATGAGATGGCAGTCTTCACTTCATGGAATATTTGATTAGTCCCATAAAATCCTATGCTAAACAAAGTAATTAGTTCAAGAATTTTTAGCTTGTTACATAAGATGTCCCTCTTGCTCTTTGGGCTTTTCCAGTCAGATTTATTTAAATTTCATTTAGTTGTTTTATTTCTGGACTATGGTGCAATACAGTAGAAAATAACTTTGTTACATTTATGTTGTAGGAAAACTAAGGTGCTGCCTCCTCCACTCTCCCTTCCCACAAAATCTGTATTGCCGCTGTTGTCAAATGTAACAGACACTACAAATTTTGTATTCTTTTAGAATTTCCTCTGGCAGTAGAAACCTTCTGTGTATATCTGAAGCACAAGATATCTGGTATCTGTAATTTTAATAGTTCAGATATACTTATTAGCTTTCTTATTCCTGAACTATATCCAGTTTTTCCAGTATGAAATCTGGTGCTTCCTGACCAAAAATATAAGAATAAAAACATAAAAAAATATAGATGCTTCAATTGAAATGGAGTGAAAACATAGGTTTTACATGTTTTCTTTTTAAAATAATTCTCATTCATTAAAAAACTTGCTGTCTTTCTTATACTTACCCCTTTTTGTGCATATCAATAGTATTTATAAAATATGTTCTATAATTACATTATTGTAGATACTGTTATGTATTGTCCACTGATATTATAAGGCAGGCCCTATTGCTGTATCTTTTCTACCTTCTTATTTGTAATAGAAACTATAGAATGTATAACTAAGAAGTCACTTTGAGATTGACTTTTTAAAAAGTTATTACCTTCTGCTGTTGCAAAGTACAAAACTGTGAGTGGAAATGTTTTATTCTGACTTAATAATATGTTAGTAATTAGTGAATACAGTGGGAGGATTTTTAGACATTGCTGCTGCTGTTACCCAAGGTACTTTAGAAAAAAAAATTTTAATAAGCAAAAATAAACAGAAATCCCTTTGATATTTAAAGTGAAACATTTAGCCTGTTCATTTTAATCTAAAGCAAAAGTAATTTGGGTCAACATACTGGTATATTTGTAAAATGCCTTAATATATCCTTTTGTGAAAGGCGCTACACAGTTTACTTTTATATTGTATTGTGTATATATGTATTTTGTATTAAAATTGAATCAATGGCAACACTATAGTTTTATAAAATCATGCTTTCTTAGAAAAGGAATTATAGCTTTGCAATATAACTAAATTGATTTGCATACTTCTGAATGTAATAGATCTGAATAATCAGCCTGTGTTTTTAATTAATCTATTTGTATATTTCCAATCATTTTCTCTAGTGTAATGTTTGCTGGGATAATAAAAAAGGCAAAATTCAAACCTTTAAATTAAGTGTGAAAAGCTAACTTTTAAGCTGCTTCACTATGTCCATTTTTAATTCAAAAGTTTATTTTAATGTTTTTTTCTTTAAGAGAATTTATGATTAAAAATTTAATGCTTTGGAATTAAAATATATAACTAATGATAGTACCTACATTGGTTAAGGCAAACCAAATGTAATATAAATGTCAGATATTTCCATTTAAATGTTTTTTGTTTTTTTTAGAGACAGAGTTTTTTTTTTTTTTTTTTTT